AGGATAGGAGGGTATAAACTAGTACAACAATTCTGACTAACTGGAATTTTGTTGTCTTATTTTGCCATAGGAAGGAAAGAAGGTTAAAAAAGGAAAGAGTTGGGGAAGTTGCTTATAATGGCCAAAGTAAAGTATTATCCATGCTGTCTCATCAATTAAGTATTCTGAGAATGACAACTATTTTACTGTTCCTGTGAAAATGATCTACCTTCCCCTAGTGCAGGCCCTTAGTGTATTTCAGAAAATTCTACAATAGGTATCTTTCCTCTTCTACTGTTAGAGAGTCCTGGTATGGTGCTGAAGGGTAAGCACTGGGCTACCAACAAGGTCGGCAGTTCAAACCCACCAGACACTCCTCAGAAACTATATACAGAGTCACTATGAGTCAGAACTAACTTGATAACATAACAATTCTACTGTATTAATGGGACCTAAGCAACATTATGGTAAATGGAGAAAATGCTAACATTGTCAAGGATTACATTTTACTTGGATCCATAATCAATGCTTATTGGAAGCAGGAGTCAAGAAATCAAACAACATATTGCACTGGGCAAATCTAAGGCAAAAGACCTCTAAAGGTGTTAAAAAGCAAAGATGTCACTCTGAAAACTAAAGTGCCTCTGACCAACCAGCTTCATATGCATGGGAAAGCTGGACAATGAATAAAGATGACCAAAGAAGAAATAGATGCTTTTGAATTATGGTGTTGGTGAAGAATATTAAATATACCATGTACTGCAAGTAGAATGAATAAAGCTGTGTTAGAAATACAGCCAGAATGGTCCTTAGAAGCAAAGATGGCAAGAATTTATTTCATGTATTTTGCATGTCATCAGGAGGGACCAGTCCCGGAGAACATCATGCTTGGTGAAGTAGAGGGTCCACAAAAAGAGGAAGACCCTCAGCAAAGTGGATTGATACAGTGGTTGCAACAATGGTTTTAAACATAGAAATGATTATGATGATGGCACAGGACTGGACAGTATTACATTCTGTTCTACAAAGCTGAGGTATGAATTAGAACTGATACAAAGGCAACACTACGGTACATGACTCCAAAGCAAGGGACCCTAAAATACAGCCTGTAAGAGTTGTGTGTGAATTACTTTAACTAGGTCAATATCCAGCTGAAATGTAAAGCTAGGTGGCTGGGGTTGTGCCTCAGAGATTGGGAAGAATAAAGAGAGAAAAGGATTATATCTCTCTTTCCTCTCCATCTCTGTATTTCTAAAGAAACTTTAGAAACCAGGCAGTAGGCCTACGCAGTAGTCCTCTACTAGCATCCCACATAACCAGTTTATTTCTAGGCATTTTTATATTAATAACACTTTTTAACAATATCATGTATTAGTTTCAGACATGAAAATACTTAAAATGACGTATACTTAACATCAAATAAGACATTTCTGAAGAGAAAAAAATGCATCCGTGAATTTACACTTACATTTGAAATCTCATTCTCATGTAAATTAAGTTGGTAATATTTTATTTTATGTAAAATTAGATTGTAAACGTAAGTCATAGATTTCACTTTTTCCTACACTCAAAAGGTACCTTAATTTTCAAAATTCTCAGAAAAAGAATATCCTTGAGACAGCACCTAATTCCAAATTCCAGAATTCATATACTCCTTTCTACCTAATTAATAGAGTCCTGGTAAGGTGCTGTTGGATAGGCACTGGACTGCTAACTGTAAGGTCGGCAGTTCAAACTCACCAACCGCTCCGCAGGAACCATTACAGGGTTGCTGTGAATTGGAACTGACTAGACGGTACCTTGCCGACAACAACTTAATTCACAGAAGCTTTTATTACAGTACAAAATAATTCTAGGGGGCTTTAAAATGTTCATAGTAAAACTGAATTGAAAGACAATGAAATTTTTCCACAAATTTTTTGAAGCTCCCTTGTGTAATAAAAAAGCAAGGAATATTTGGGGATTCTACAGGTCACTCTATTTCCCTCCCCCTGCCCCAATTTAAAAAGAATTATTCAGAGATATTGTTAAACATAGATTACCACAAAACTCCCCCTAAAAATTCTGATTTTATTGTTGTAGGCAAGATAAAATCTTTATTCCTCCAAGTGATTCTGATGATTGCTAAGACTGAGAAATACTGATCTACTATACCACTGCCATCAAGTCAATTTGGACTCATAGTGACCCTAGGGGACAAGGCAGAACTGTCCCATAAGGTTTCCAAAGCTATAAAGCTTTACAGAAGCAAAAAGCCACATCTTTGTCATGCAGTGGCTGCTGGGTTTAGAACACCAACCTTTACAGCCAAGCTAAGCAAAGGAGCTCTACCAGGGCTCCTCTGATGTAGTATTATGGTTCTCAATTTGGCACAAATTAGAATTACTTGGGGAGCTTTAAAAAAATCTTAAAGTCTAAGCTTCAGCCCAGATCAATGAAAGCATTAGTATTTTTATAGCTCCACAAAGGTTGAGAACCACTTAAGAATTCTTGTAGAACTTGAAAAATTCTTGTAGAGCCCCCTTATTAATGTTAAGAAACTAGGCTTGATCAAATGATAGTAAAATTGGAGCTAGAATCAAACTCTCTCAGTTTACTGTTTTTCTATACAGTTGTTTTTCATGTGGGTTGACCATAAAGGGTTAAAAAAAAAGACCATCGTTTTGCATCACAATAATGCTGACATTCAACAACTGGATCAATTAAAACTGACTAACCTTTATATTTCAGAATTAGAAAAGTTTTGCTTAGTCCTATTATAAAACAAAATGGACTATCACTACTAAAGTTCCAGCTATTAAACTGTGAATCTATATTACAAATAATTCTTTAAAAAAACATTTTAACTTCCAAATCAATAAATTAAAATTTTTCTAATTCTTTTAAAGATTGGCATCACAGTTCCTTACTAGTAAAACTATTTGATACCTAAATCTGGTGACATGGTTTCTTCCTTATTTAAAACTGACAGTTTAATAGCTGGAACTTTAAAATAATAACGGTATTTATCTATTTTGTTTTATACTAAGAATACAAAGATAAGTCAGTTTTGGCATCAGTTTTTTACTATAAAACTATTTTTGATAGCTAAATTTGGTGATACGGTTTCTTTTTTTAGATTACTCTGTGAACTAATAAACTAGAACAAATTTTCTTCTTCCATACAAAAGAATGTACTTTAGGCTGCAACTCGGATTCATACCTAACTACAGGGCAGAGTAGAATTGCTCCCTAAATTTCCCAAGCTACACAGCCTCATCTTTGTCCCTTGGAGCAGCTGGCAGGTTTGAACAACTCACCATTTTAGCAGCTAACCTTATAGTCAGTAGCCCAATGCTTAACCCACAATGCCACCAGTACTCCTAAGTGTGGATTTACTTTCTAAAAATTATCACACGAGCCTTCTGGGATCTACTTTTATTTCAGTACTGAAGTTATTGAAATTTCATTTTTATCTCTTTCAAGGTTGCGAGATACTTAAATATTTCAAACTTCCATGATGTTTGTGATTTCTGCTTCTAGATTAAAAAAAAAAAAAAAGAAAAAGTTTGGAATAGTTTTTCAGAAGTTGATCACTTC